GGAATAAACGAAAATAAAAATTGACGTGTTACAGCTTCAACCGGCCGCTTCTCCTCAAGGGAGAGAGCTCCGATACCCACCTTGAGCTGTAATCAGCCCGTTACAGAGCCGGTCTGAATGCGTGGAGAAAAGTCTCTTATACCGCTGGGAGTCGAAGCCACATACCTCGGTCGTACAGCCTGTAGTGCATTCACTCTACTCTCAGCCACGCCAAGATATATATATATACCGTGTTAAGTAATTATAAATTATTATAATGAATAATGCCGTCTTCTGGGATGTGGCGCCGTGTAGATCTTGTGTGAACCGACGTTTTGGAGGAATGTATCGCCTCGATCATCATGGTAGGAAAATCCCCGAGTGAGGAACCAGCGTGAACAGTTGGCTAGCGGTTGGAAGGCAAATACAAGAAAATTATTTGCGATATTTTGACGGTAGAACAAAAATAAATTGTTACCGACACAATAAACGTGATTTTCGCGACACGTTTCCAGCAGGAAAAAAAAAAATAAAAACCGCGAACATTTTTCTGATAGACCAAAAATAATCTACGTCATATATTGCAGGAACAACAAAAATAAATTTCGCGATGTGTTACTGCCACAGCAAATAATAAACTTCACGGTATGTTGTCGGACAATAAAATGAAATTCGAGATGTTTCCTGAAGAGCAAAAACAAACTTCGCAGCATGTTGCCGGTACTACAAAAATACACTTCTCGATGTATTGCCGGCACAGCAAAATCAAACTTCGCGATATGTTGCTGGCACAACGGCGAGGCACTGAACGGTTTGGTGTATAGATAAAGGCGACCGATTCGAATATTGGCCGGCGGACAAACCGGCTACCATGACTGAAGATTATTGTAGTTTTCCTCAAACTGTCGAAGAAAATTCGGGGATATTACCTCCATTACCGATCACGGTGGCCATACAGCCTAAGGCATGAACTTTCTTCGCTCGCTAGAATACTGGGATCGTGGGTTCGAATCCCACTCAATGTCTGTGTGCGTTTATTCTGTTTGTGTTGTTTTGTGTGTACGTAGAGGCATTGCGACGGGCTGATCACTCGTCCAGCGAGACCTACCCCAACCAAGGGCTATGGAGTCACTGATGAATGAATTGCCTCGATTAGGCCACAACCGCTTCCATGCAAACCATTCCCAATTCACCAGTCACCAGTCACCAGTCACCTACCTACCTACCTACCTACCTACCTACCCGTCTATGCTGTAACAGACACCATCGTAATATTATAACCCACAACAATGCAAGAAAAGAGGCTGATTGTAACGCAGTGAGTATGGTTCAGATGCTGGGAAGCTGGGAGAAGGGCGTGTAGATATATCAGGGGAAATAAAAAAAGTCGTGTCCAACTCCATTGAGTTGGACAGCGAATAACGAATGTGCGAATTCAGAGAAATGGCGATTAATTTATATCTGCATGCAGTGTAACATCTGTCAAGTAGCTTCGCTGGCAACGAAACTTCCATGTTCGTACCTTCAGTTGCGGAAGATGCCAACAATAGATAATACGAAAGCAATGACTGATGCAACGAATGCATTTAGAAACTAGAGCAAATCATTCTGCTGCTGCTAACCTAAGGAACAAATGTCACAATTCTTCCTGATACACATCCTTCCTGCTCTTCTGTACATTCCAAACAATTTTAGAGCTGATGTCAGATACCAGGCATTAACACAAACATCCATGGCGTTGGTTTGCTATGGAGCGGAGGCACCCCATCGTAGCCAAGCTGAAAATTTTGAATTAGTATTGTAACGGATTTGATCAACGTGTTGCCAGGCAACAGCACTGTAAACATGGTCTAACATGCAACAATAGACAAGGCTGTTTTCTATGTAGTCCGCGCCGAGCAGCGGTGGAACAACGGGGTTATGCAAACCGTTTCTAAGCAACAGCTCGGTAAACACTTCCGCGTAAGCGGGTACATCATCAACAATAGAGACTGTGTTTTCCGTGTGGTCTGTGCAGAGTGCTTATAAGGGAAGTGAATGCAGTGACAGAATTAGTTCAGGAGCAGTTATGAGTCAGTCGTAAGCTGGAGGAGTGAGTCCAGAAGAATTTTGGGTTCCGAGGTTGAGAGTGATTGAAGACGAAATAACAAAACTTCATAGTGATTTGAGGTGACAGTTTCTGTGTTGAGAGCCGTTGCCAGGAGACGACAAGTGAAGATGAACAGTCCTAGTGCATGTGCAACGGTGAACTATAAATTCTGTAAATCAGCGATAGCGCTGTATTAATGGTAATTACTTGTAAGAGAACTTGTAACCAAGGTGCTAACAATCCAATCATCCGAACTAGAACCCGTCATTTTCGTCGCACGTACCATCCTGCACGTGACAGTATCATGTCACAATAATATTCAATAGCCCAAAATTTGTGTTCTGAGAGTATATTTTTCAAATTTCTAAATATATATACCCATCTACTGCATGCCGCATGAATTGTATAGTCCATTAAATTTATGTGACGTCGTGTGAACTTCTTGAGCATGTCACGAAATTCTGTAATTTTAATAAAAGGGGCGATTCATACGCGTCATGTATGGAGTCATTGCTTAATCCTACTCTGAGTAAGATCAATTAATTTTTCGTTACTATATATACATGGTACGAGGTTCTTGGGTAGCTCAGTTATTATGCCTGTCAAGAAATTCCATTCGACAGTTGATCAGCCTGTCAAGAAATTCCAGTTGACAGTCATTCATTCAGCCTGTCAAGAAATTCCAGTTGACAGTCATTCATTCAGCCTGTCAAGAAATTCCAGTTGACAGTCATTCAGCCTGTCAAGAAATTCCAGCTGGCAGTTATTCAGCCCGTCAATAAACTCCAGTTGACAGTTATGGAGCCTTTCAAAAACCCAGTTTTTAATAAACGTGAAGTTATTTATGCATCATTCTAAAGGTCCTCAAAAGTTAAGCTATCACGATCAGTTTACATAATTCAGCCCTCCATGAAATTCCGCTTGTACCTACCCTTCTCTCACCCCTACTTACTTCATGGTCTTAATAAAAGTCATTTTACTAATTCCTCTACTAGTTATTCCCTGCAGCCGTCTGTTCTCTAATGTGCTGATCTTCTGAATAAGGGTTAAAATCATTCTAGCTGAACCACTTCTTTTATCTGAACTGTAGACGTTCTTAAGCCGGATCAATTTCACATGCTTAAATGTCTCAGAAACCAAGAAAAGAGGCGTTCTTTTCTGATGAACATAAAACGTTTAAAGAAGAATGATTCGAAGCTGAAATAACACTAATGCCGGCAAGAGAGATTTGTGTATATATGTCAAAAGTGTATTTTTTATTAATTTATATTCCAAAATGCCTGTCCAAATGAAATAATAAATGTATGTTAGATCCCCACAAATGTGGTTAATGGGATAGGACTTCGACACAGGCCACGACCACTTCCTTCCACGTCCTATTCAATTAATTACTCACCATCATCTTACCATTCAGCGCTGTTTAGGATATTATGAATTGGCAGCTGTGTTAAGCTGCGTGAAATAAAAATAACACAAAAATAAAGGGAAGGTAGAATTATTCCTGTACTTAATTATCTAATTAAACACAAAGTTACACATTTCCTGACTTCGTCACTAGGAGGAGGTAAGCTTCACGCTCTGGCCGCTTTATCCCCGCGGAAAGAGTCCCCCAATACCCGTTGGATAGGAGGCTGGGTGATTTCCAGAGCCGGCCTGAACGACGTGGGGGAAAGAAAAATCTCTTGCTGCCGCCGGGAATCAAACCCTGATGGTCGAACTCATAGCATAATCGAATAACAGAGACAGTGAAGTGTAGCGTGTTGAAGCTTCGTAGAGTAAAATATAACATTTCGCTTTTAGGCTTACTTTTCGGACTATTTAGCTTTGACTAGATTAATCGAAATTCCTGCTGTAGGTCTACAGTCCCCTTAAATATTATAGCCTGTAGACCTGTTGCTGGGTAATGGTCACGAAATGACGCCCGTTGCTGGGGCAGTGGATTCTTAATAAACGGTTTTACGCGACACGTTTCTGGGCAACAGCTCGGTAAACAAGTTAACGCTGCAACGAATACGCATGCAACAATAGAAGGACGGTGTTTTCTATGTGGTCCGTGCCGAAAAGTTATAGCCAGGGCAATCAGAGCTATCAGCTGAGTTGTGCAAGAGAAGATGTGAACAGATGGCGCTATAATTAAGTTGAGAGTTCAGGTGTGGAGTGTTAACCAGCGGGCAACGTCACGAGCACAGAAGCTGGAGAATCTCTATTGTTAAGATCCGTTATCATGAAACGACCAGTGAAAGCAGACTGAGAAGACTTAGCGTGTGCTCTAGTGATTTCTAAATTGTGTGGATCAGCGATATAGCGTTGTGAGTGCTTGTAGTTCCGAATCGCGTGTATAAGTGGTCAGTAAATCCATTCACCAATCGATACCCTGTCTACACTCACACACACTCCTTCACGTGACAATATGTTGATCACTAAGCCGCGCCTGCGTGTGACGGAGACGGACGAATGTAGCTCTGCTGCCATTTTTCATCTTAACCTCTGATGGCAATATATGATACCGCCAACACAAGCGATCAGTACACATCCACAAACATCGTGACAGGACAGTACGTACATATCAAAGCATGTCGGTCAATGCTGTTTCGAGGCGAATGGCGCTGAGGGCTGATAATGATCAAATAACTGGCGGCACATTTCATCCACTCACAGATTTTGTCTGTCACCATTGAGTTCCGAGTCACACTGCTTCACTTAAGCACGTGTTATACACGTAACTTGCGAGATAATGATACAAACGTCAAGTCGGAACCTAAAAGGGATTTCACTGATGGAGGACGACTTAAGCGGGACTTTTCTTAGGTACCCCAACGCTTTAGCTCCCAGATGCCAGTCACGTGTGCACCGTTACGCAGACAAAGTAGCATTAATATTTACTTTGTTTCTATACCGCTACAATAGATTAAGACTCAAGTTTTCTACTCACGTGTTCTGCAGGGTGAATACTCAGAATATTCCCTGAAAGAATTCCGAGCGACGTAGCAGGTACCCACGGGATCCCTCCTGTTCAGAGTTTGGGAAAACCAAACGTAACGTGGAGCGCAGGCCTGAAACAACATCAAAAATAATATTTAAGATTTGAGGCTTTCACGGCGGTGACTATGAAGAAAGCAGTCTTCTGGGATTTGGCACGGTGTATATGTGGTGTTAACCGACGTTTCGGAGGAACGTATCGCCTCCGTCTTCAGGGTTCTCACGGTCTCTTTGCTTGCGGATTTCTTTTATTTTCCATTCTACCCTGAAGATGGAGGCGATACGTTCCTCCGAAACGTCGGTTAACACCACATATACACGGTGCCAAATCCCAGAAGTCTGCTTTCTTCAAAAATAATATTGTCAAGCTCTAGGGGTGAATTATGGAATGGGGAACACAGGCAGGAGACTCCACAATGGACTACACCGGTAGAAAAATAAATTGTTGAATACGATTTTCTTATATAATGTGAAACCGCACAGTATGGCACAAGTTTTTCGAAATCTGTCATCCATCTTCAGTGTCGAGAGTAATTCAGGGAAACTTTCCGAGCATGGACAGCCAGGTGCTGCCATCTTTCCATTTGCAAATACGGCCCTTGATCTTATAGCTACCTCTGGGATCATTTCCAGGTCAATTCCTGAATCAGGTTTTGCAAACGCGGTTCAGTGTTTGCTGTTTGCTTGGTTTACCCCTCGGACCTGAAGAAGGAAGTAGTACGTTCTTCCGAAACAACGGAAAACTTCTGCCCGACTATACGGCGTCAAATCCCAGAAGACAGTCAGACACCGTCGTCAGAATTTCGAATATCATTAGTGGCTCAGCTAACTCAAGAATATCCGAAATTTTTGTCGAAATCGAAGGTACATTACCGTGCCCACAAGAGACCGCCACTGGTCCCTATTTTGAACCAGATCAATCCCGTCCATACCATCGTATCATATTTATCTTTGGTTAATTTTAATACTATCCTTCAATCTCCGTCTAGGTCCTCTGAGTGGTATCTTTCCTTCTGGCTTTCCCACCAAAGTCCGATGTGCATTTCCCTTTTTCCCCATGCATTCTACATGCTATGCCCAATTCAACATCCTTGACTTTATCATTCTACTTGTATCTGGTGAAGAGTACAAACTATGCTCCACAACCTAAGCGGTTAGGAAAAATACAATCAATCCATCAATCAATCACTTATTTGATTTTACAATCATTTCCGAGAATATATCTTACAGAAAAAAAGAACTGGATTCGGCTGGCTCTGGATACGGTTCCTTGGCAAGTTCTTACGGTCGCGGTAACGAGATTTCAGGTTCTGTCGGGAAATTACTTGATCAGCTGAGAAACTATCAGTTTTTAGGGATGATTCTGCTTCGTGTTCGATACATCAGCAGACACGTCACAGCACGCAACGCCCAATACCGGAAGCTCATACATGCATACGTTAGTCTTCCCTTTCAAGACCAAGATGACTAGGCGCAGAAGTACTGCGCGGTAATGCGTGAGGGCAGCACTGATGGCGGCCACACGATGCATCTCCGTCGCGCTCTCCATGCACTGCCCAATCTCTCAAGCAGGACATACAGATATCGGCGGGAAGCACAGCTGTTACAAGAGTGGGAATGCGTATCAACCTCTGTGCCGATCACTGTGGCTGGGCGGAATAAAGCATGAAATGTCTTCCCCGCTCGAAAAATAGGATCGTGGGTTCGAATCCTACTCAAGGCTTGGATGTCTGTTTTTTATTGTGTTTGTGTTAAGTAGCGGCCTTATGACGGGCTGATCCCCGTACAAGGAGTCTTACCGACTGTCTTAGATTAAGAGACTGAAGTGAAACGAAGCCTTTCACAGATGTCCTATCCTCCAAGTGGGAACAACAAATATAGAAGAAGAAGAACAATAATTGTATTTTGTATCCCTTACTCGTTTCACAAATAATGTTACCTGCCGAGCTACCGAGGTACTACCCAGATCTCAGAAGAGCCGGCATAGCGCAGTCGGTAAAGCGACTGGCTAGGGGCTGGACGACCAAGGGGTCGAAGTTCGAGTCCCGGTACGGACAAGATTTTTCTCCTCTCCACGTCATCCAGACCGGGGCCTAATCAGCGTCCTGTCCAATGGGTACAGAGGGTTCCTTCTCCAGGGGTAAAGCGGCCGGCGCGTGAATCTGGCCACTTGCTTCCATCTAGTGCCGAGGTCAACTATCTATCGTTATAAATTCTTTGTCGGAACTTGGCCGCTTTTTAAATTTCTTAATTCTATACACACTCGGCAGAACTCCTTGGACGGGGGATCAGCCAACCGAAAGGCAGCTACCTACACAAAGAACTACACAAACACATAAATTCATGCCTTGAGTGGGATTCGAACCCATGAGCCCAGCGTTCGAGCGGGCGAAGGCGGTTCATGTCTTAAACAGTGCGCGCCACGGTGATCGGCGCGAGGTCAACAATACGTACATCTCCCATACCCCTTCTAGGCGCAGCGATTAATCAGTTAAGTACAATACATGGGTTAAATTTACATTTTAATTACATGTTTGGAAACGACACTAAATTAAAGTAGTTGAAATTCGCGGCTTCCTATGTTATTTTTTTTTTATTGCTAGTGGGGTGGGACTAAGTCCCTTGTACTGCTGCCACTTCTGGCTTATTGTACCAGTCCCAGATGATAGGTGAGGGCGATTGTGGAGCAATTAGTGGAATGAAGATTGGCAGGGGAAACCGAAGTCCTCGGAGAAAACCTGCCGCAGCGCCATTTTGTCCACCACAAATCCCACTTGACCAGACCCGGGATCGAAGCCAGCGACTAACCACTTGAGTTATGGCGCGACCTGGCTTACTCTGTTAAGTTCCAAATCGTTTGTATGTCCGTCTCCTGTCTAAGAAGGGAATGCAAAGGTTAAAGTTAACTGAACTACAGTTTTGTACGAGAGTGAAAATTAGTCTCTCACATTAAGGGAAGATTATGGGCTGAGCGTGTTTTAGAGCAGGGTGGTGAGGAGAATATTTGGTGCCAAGAGGGATAACTTTAAGGGGGCAGAAGAGAACTTCAAAATTTGTATTCCCGCGCTCAGGCCCGTCCTACAAGATTCCAGTACAGAAATGCCTGCCAACTGTCAACTGAACTGGTTGCCTTAATTCTCTTGTATATAACTTCTCGGCGCGGACCGCATAGGCAACACCTTGTTTTCCCGCTTTGCATGCGTAACCGTTGCAGCGGGAACGTGTTTACCGAGCCGTTGCTCAGAAATTGGTCTAATATAACCGTCCGTCTCAAGATCACTGCATAGCAACGGCTATTGTCTCGTCTGTTTCGAGGTCTTTTCCTAGCAACGGGTCTATATGTTACAATATTATTAAAATTAGTGTTCAAGGAGTAGGAAAGGGCAATGTGGACTGGATCCATCTGGCTCAGTAAAGGGCCGATTGAGGGGTTATTGCGTGCAGACTGGTGAACTTTTGGCTTTCATAAAGTGCGAGGAATTTGACTGGCTGAGCAAGTATTAGCTTCTGTACTTATGGTTCTAAATCTCAGTTACCGAAAAACTTGGATCAAGCAAGGTTTCCAAATTGCATTCGGGATATAACAAGTTCGAATCTTGGCCAGGGCACAGATTAACCTGCCTGAAGTAGTTCGTTGTAAATGCTGGGATAATAAAGATAAAGTTAACCCTGTAAGAGGCCGTGAAGGTGCATAGAGTTGTGAGACGTCGAGGCTCTCACATTTTCTAGATACTTGGCTCATAGATGGCGGCAAGGTTGTCAGCTCTATGCGTCGGCCGACCTTTGCCCCAATGACAATTCTTGGTACTCATTTCTGTTAGAGGCTGAGTCGGCCCCAGGGCTACAGTGCGGCTGGAAGGATTAGGAAAATTGAAAAAATCCAATAATCTCATCGGGAATCGAACCGGCAAACTTTCAAGCTTGTAACAACGTGCATCAACCAACTACGCTACCGCGTGCCCCTCATGCTATTATCCGTCTAAAACTTCTCTCAATATAGGTAACACCTTAAGGATCCCTTTCCCATCATACGCCGAAGATAAAACGTAACTGTCTACTGACAACGTCACAATCTACGTCACTGTCTGGTGATGAAGCAATATCAGAGATGTTTTACACACAATATATGACCGAAGCCCAGAGATCCACAGCTGCTCAGCCTAAACACAACTTTCGGTATTTTAGACGCCAAAGACTTGGACACGTGGGGTCAGCCTTTCGCAAGGCCGCTACATACACACAGAACAACACAAACACAGAATAAATGCAAACAAACATCCATGCCTCGAGAGTGGGGTTCGAACCCACGATCCCAGTGTTCAAGCGGGAGAAGACGGTTCATGCCTTAGACCGCCTGGCCACTGTGATAGGCATCTACCAAACTGCAAGGTAAGACAAAATGGCAGAAATTATAGCAGGAGAGTAAATGAAAGTGAATAGCCATGGGAGAAGAGAGAGACTTTATTGCGGGAAGAGAGAGAGCACCGTTTTGTTAGCAGGCCTATTCGTCTGTATAGTAAGGGTAATATGTAGGCCGCGCCATAGCTCAAGCGGTTAGTCGCTGGCTTCCCACCGCGGCGGCCCGGGTTCGATGCCGGGTCTGGTCAAGTGGGATTTGTGGTGGAAATAGTGGCGCTGGGGCGGGTTTTCTCGGAGTACTTCAGTTTCCTCTGCTAATCTTCATTCCACCAAATTATCCATCATCATAATCACCCGGGGCATGCTACAATAGGCCATTCAGTGGCCGCCGTGCCGATTGGACCCAGTTGGACCCCACCCCCCAATAAGCGAATTAAAAAAAAAAAAGTAATATATTAAGCGAAGACTTTAGAATGTTTGAAGTGGGGGCTTGAGACAGGGGACGCCAAATTTTCAATTTCTGAACCAATGTCGAACTGTTTAATTTGGGGAGGAATTTTATTGTTTTTGACAGTTGCGTGAGAAGCGCTCAGCAGTAACTTGGAACTCAGGAACCATCTCAGCATTCGCTTAAAGACGGAGGAAAATCAAGAAAACCTGCGCAAAAAAAAAAAAAAAACAGAGTGTCATGTCCCAGATGACCGTAATTTTCACA